ATTTGTAATTTACATACTGCTATCAATGATCTGTTAGTAAGGACTCAGATCATTTGCATAACTCAATTTCACAGTGGTGAGGGTGTTTGGAGAAAAAGCGTAATTTTTCTGCATATATTGGAGTCTAAAAAAATGTGTCAGATTTCCCTGGCAGTAGAAATCTTAGAATTGAAGAAACATTTATGGAAGCAAATGATGATTCAGTCATTTAATACAACAGATCCTGAAGTGTCCATGCAAACGTATGTACAATTTTGAATTAAATTCATATTGATTTTTGACAGAATCCTGATTGTGATACACATGAATGGAATCTTGGTTTTCCTTTCTAAGCAAAGCACATACACAACCGTTATTTCTTGTGGTTTCCAAAGCACTATTCCTAGAAATAGTGTACTAAAGAAAGCATCACGTAAGTACAGATCTCACTTTATCCACAAAGTTGCAGGCTAAAGTTAGACTTCAGTAATATTAATAGCTTAGTAGCAAAACATCTAAAGATAAAAACATGATGCTCTGTATCCACCCACACTTTTATCAAATATTTGGTACTTAAAGTAGTTATGGTAATTTAATAATTAAAAAAAGGCTGCAAGGTATAATTTTAATTTTATCTTTCATATATGGCTTTTTGAAATGTTATGAGACATGATTCAAGCCAACTGGAAGTCTATGGAGGGATTTTAGTGGATTTAAGAGGAGGAAAAAGAAAAGATCAAAACACCCTAAATACTCTGTAGAGTGAGGGTTGTAATGTCTTATTGCAGAAAATGACAAGCATTAAGATTTCCCATGGTAGAGTTCTTGCTCACTTTGCCTTCATTTCTAGCCTCAATCGACAGCCCTACCACCAAGATCACCAACTGGTATGAATATTAAAGGCAAAAATAGTGTTTTAAAGTACTTTCTCATAGAAATTGACTGCTAAGAGATTATTTTAAAGCCTGTGTTCATTCTAAAAGCAATATTGGCAATTATAAAATGGGAGTGGGGGGACGAGAGGGTTTATGTATAAGCTTTTGAGTGAAAAGCTATCTTTCCATTACTGTTGACATTTCTTTAAAAATTTTTTTTAGCTAGAATTTTTTCTTTCAATTCCATCCGAGTTTACAATATAAGAACTTGAGGCTTCCCTGGTTCCTTTGAGAGATTGTGTGCATTTGTTTGATGTACTGCAGTTTTCAATATAAAACCTCAACTGGGCTTAAAAATGGGATTTTCACCTCTGAAAAGTACATTATTACAGTTACCATGCAATAAAAATGAACATTATAAAAATGGGCTTTCTGTGAGTTATAACTTTATATTCAGTCTCTCTAAAATAGAGGACTTGTTTTTGCAATATCCTTCAGAGAGGATAAAATTCTTACCCCTTAAATGGTAAAGAAGAAGAAGAAGAAAAAAACAGACCTCACAAAAGGAAAGATTAATGGATCCTGCACAGGATCTAATCAGATAATACTAATGCACAGATATTAATGAGGCTGTTAAGCTCAATTCAGTGTACTGAAGGACTGAAGTATACAATGTCCGTTTAACCTTCACCACTGATGTAGTGATTTGCAGTCTGTTAACTTGATGTTCCTTCACTGGAATCTTGTGCTTTTGTTATAGCAGGAAATAATAAAGGTGTAATCCAAAAGTCATTAAATAACGTTCTCTGTACAACAGACACCAATGATAATTAGATAAGAAGAAACAAAAAAAAGAAAATATTTTCCATTCACTTTCTCGTCTTTCATTAGTGTGTGCAGCATGAAATTTCTTCATTATATTAGCTAAGAAATGTTGAAATATTTATGCCAGGCCAAGAGCTCTTGCGCACTAACCATACCTTCAATATTTTGTTTGTTTTTCTCAGATTATATTCTGCCTCAGACTTTGATACCTCTGTATTCCCCACAAGATCTGAGGTTGTATAACTTAGAGCAACAGATTGAGGAGGACTATAGCTTTTATAGACATTGTTACACCCCAAAAAGACAGGCTCTGCTAGAAAGAAGTGAAAATAACATTATTACTACTGCAATAAAATCACTTGATATTGCAAAATCCATTTGTCAATCCGGAATTACCCTCTTCTAAACATCAACTGTTCTCCACCTCATGCATACATAGATTTGATTATTAAAATTTATTTATTTATTTTTCATTAACAAGAATCCTTATATATTTTGAATACTGCCAGCAGCATTGGGTACCAGAAGATATCTGAGGGAATGCTAGGGAAGGATTCATGTTGATGAGAGCAGATGTTTACTTCTTTCAGTTATTGAGACTCCCTCACTAGTGACTGGTGGAAACCAAGCACTCACCAGCTGATATCTTTCCTGAAAGAATTTTGCTACAATCACACTAAGGACCATATGGTGATTTTCTCAGATGTACAGGGCTAAGTTAGAGAAGGTTGCACTTAGTAAGTAAGGCTGTTTAGACTATGTATCTATACCACTATTAGTTTTTCATCCTTTTCCGTAAGGAAATACTTTTCTAATGAATATATATTTTTTGTGAATTCCCTACTAGTCTAACACTCTTTCATCCATATAAAAAAACCACTTATTTATGATTTCAGTTAATAAAGGTCTAGTCTTCTTTAATCAATATAGAAACATGGGGATGTCTTAATGAAAAAAAAATCTTTTTTGTTATGCTAGTCTATTAAAATAAAATTAAAATTTATATAATTTTTCCAATTGCATATATGGTATACATTTTGTCTATCAAATAAAAAAATTCTTTTTTTTTTTTACTTTGACTTTGAAGGACTGTGCTGTTGAGATTAGTATATCAGAAGAAGCTGTCTTTTCTGCAGTCTCATGATATGTTTCCATGAGTTTGATTAGGTATCACTGTAATCTCAATCACCCAGTTTCAACAAGAAAACACTCATTAATGAGGATAAATTAGCTTTCTTTTCTCCACTACATACTTTTGCACATTCTGAGTGAAAATATACTTTTTTTGTGGAAGGGTTGGTGTTTTTGTTTATTGAGGAGAAGTTTTGGTTTTGGTGTTTTTTAGATTTTTTTTTTTTTAATTCAACAGATGTTAGCCTTTTGCCTTTGATAATTTTCAGGTTATTATTTCTTTATTTATTATGCTGGTTTTTTTATGTTACAGTTTCTTAATTAATCGTTTGCTTTTATTAGATAATGAGATGTCTTAAGATATTTGTGTGCTTGTTTGTCCTCTCTTTAACCTTGCTTTTTATCTGGTTATATCACTTGCCTAATTATTATCACCACAGAATGGAGTTTCTGAGGCATTTTTCATCATTCCAACATCACATCTCATTTGCATTACGGCTGTGAAGTTGTTTCATAACATATATATTGTAATTTAAATATGAAACCAAAGTAAAAATAAACAGAACTATGAAACATGCTTTGTGAATGAATACTGACCAGTTGTATCCAGTACAGGGACCAGCATCCGGACAAACTTTCTATTTCAGCATATCTGTTTTCCAAGAGCTGTGGATACTGCAGCTTTGATTCAATCCAAGAAGTTCTTGCATAATATGAGTGTCACATGTATTCCCATTTGGAGAAGCCTTTTGCTGCCACACAGAGTTTGTAAAAGTTCAGTGCCTTTCTGCGTGTGCTGTGCTGCAGTTCATTTTTCGTATTTAAATCTAGACTGTTTGCAGCTGTATTATAGCATCAACATAATCACTGACTTTAAGATGCTCATTTGGGATTTATCTGACTGTGACTAGATGGAGAACTTAGGCCCTTGTAGGTCAACAGATGTGTGTTTCACCTCTGCTGCTCCTCTGAGTGAATACTGGAATGTTTCGCAGATGCTGGAGGATTAATTTGCAAGCACATCTCAGATCCCTGTGATATATTCAGTAGCAGAACTGCAGAAAAACATTTTTAATCTGTTTTATACACTCGGAATTATAGTTTGAAGACATAGTTGAGTAACCAGACTGCAGCTTCAGAAGTGCTTCAGTATTTTGCTGCTGTTTTTAATTATTAAACTTGGAATTACAAAGGAATAGTTAGCTGGATGTTTGGTGCAAGCTGACAAACTAAGACTATAGATATGGAGTAATTGGTTCTAATATTAACTTGATGTTTTCTTTCAGTAATGGCCCATGAGCTAAAATTATTTTTTCATCAAATAAAATTTTCTTCTTTCTGAAGGATCTGAATATCCTCAAATTACAGACGTCTCTTTTGTTGTGGAGGGTAATTTTTTATTATAATGCAGTATGTATTTGCAAAGAAACTGTACTTTCATTGAAGAAAATTAAAGCAGAAGGAAGGTATATAAAAAAAAAAAGTGCATTTTGCTTAATAAGCGAAACAAACCAAAACAATCTCCAGGCTGCACGGCATCTCAGTACAAAATATTCTGATATAAACAGTGTCATTTAAGTAATTGCCACATTTTCTACACAAATTTATAAGACCTTGGAGAAAAATTTGTTTATTCAATCCAAATACTATGCAAAAACCAATAAATTCAAAAGAAATTTAAAATTAAAACAAAAAATCTCACCCACGATTTTCTGAATTAGGTGTTTTTACCTGTAAGTAACTTGTAAAGATTCTATTGGGTTCTTATGTCTGGGTAGTATGTCACATTGTATTTGTCATTAGCTCAGAAAAAATATTAATAAGACAAAGTAAGTATTAATTCACAATGGTGAAAAAATCAGTGAGAATCTGGTCCTCACAGAAGTTACAGAAAGTTTTGCCATTACCTCATACATTTGTTTCACTCACAAGGTAGAACTATCTTTATCATTAAAAATTGCAGAATATTCACTAGTGAGACACTTCAAATAGTGTTTTGAGAAAGTTAAAAAATCAACTATGCTCTTTCAGTCAAAAGTGCTAGTTATATACAGTCAAAAGTGCTAGTTGTATACAAATGGAAAAAGTAATTTCATTTTCTCTTTAAAGCATAACTGGAAGTTTTAAGCAAAACAGTTTTACGTCAAGATCACTGAATAATAAAATTTCCAAATAATTTTGCTTGTATAGGAGCTGGATTTTGAAGCTAAGACAAGCTATACCTTGAGGATAGAGGCAGCCAATATGCATGTTGACCCTCGTTTCCTGAGTCTGGGGCCCTTCAGTGACATGACAACAGTGAAGATAATTGTAGAAGATGTCGATGAGCCGCCCGTGTTCACTTCACGTCTGTACTCCATGGTGGTGTCTGAGGCAGCCAAGGTTGGCACAATCATCGGAACTGTAGCAGCCCATGATCCTGATGCCTCAAATAGTCCTGTCAGGTAATTGTCAGAGGTCTTAACTATTTATTCAGCCTTTGCATTGAAGCTTTTCATGGTGTGATGGGAGGGGTTTTGATTACGCTGAAAGTAATTAATAAGCTTTATTTCCTTGCAGAGGGACATTTAGATGTTTTATGAGTTTGCATGTTTTAACTTTTATAACCTGACCTACAGAATCTCTGGAAAAAAAGAAAGTTGAAATCTCTGTGAAACAAAGAAAAGAAGATATCGTTTCATAATCCCAAAGAAAAAAAGTCACCTAAAAATATTGCTCATATTTATAATTCTTTAAGCTTAGGAAGAGTCTATTACTATCTACAGCAACTCATAAAGTCTTAAATCAACCAGGATCAAAGAGTATAATATACATGTATGCTCGACTAATGATTCATAGTCTTTATGCCCTAGGAATCAGAACGTAATAGGACATAAATTCCCACATGGAAACTGGAGATGAGGTCCCACAGCAGGAAACATTCGAAAAAAATCTTTACATGAGAGAAGTGGACAGGATGAGATGCATCCTGTTCTAGTCAGGATGGTTAAAGGCTTTTGGTTTTGTAAATTTTGCTGCAGCCAAATATCTTCCGTTTTAATGGGAAGAGTTATGATCACTGGAGATTCATAAACTGTCAAGGCCCTCCTCCTTTGTCTTCAGTGTCTGCAAAACCTACAAGTCTTCCACAATATAATTTCCAAGATCATTAAGAAACCATAAGAGAACACAAATTCTCAATCTTATATTTGCCTGTATGTAAGGTCAGAGCTCAAGGGCAAAGACTCACCACCTTAGCTAAACCAGTAATGAGCTACTTGTTATTTTTCTTATGCAGAGTAGTAATATTAATTCTCAAAGGCACATGCAAAGGATCTAGAGAGTAATGGTTATAACTTAGGAACTCTGTGAATTTAAACACCGCAGGGGGGAAGAACTCATGCACAATTAAAAGTTAGTGCTTAGTTTCATGTGTTTTTATTGCTACTTAGGGCATACATGGGAAAGATCTTTGTGGCGTTCTTGTTTGGGTGTCACTTCTTTTGGTAATGTTAAGTGTTTCCTTTCATGCATTGAAAATGAACTTGGGAGTCTAGTGTAATTTCTAAAGCAGAGATCTTATGTTGCAAAAGTTAAGCATATGTTTCATTCCTAGAGGTGATGCAAGTGTTCTATCTCTTTCGTTATATATTTGCTACATATTCAAAATAGCTGATTCCTATCATGTATAAACAAGTCCTAGATGAGTGTTTGGCATGAATTTACTTGTGAAATTTATCTTTGCTGTGGCAGTATTTTCTGGCACTGATGCTAGCATCTGGTGTATAATATCTGGTAACCAGAATAATTTAGAATAGACTTAAACTCAGTTCCACTAATACAGGCCATACACAGAATGCTTTTGACTCCTTTGTAAACATAAAGAAGAGTTTTTTGGCCTTGATCTGATTATTTTTTACAATTCCAGCATAAAAAGTAATTATATCACCTGCTAGCATCTTAAAGATTCCTTCTTCTTCAGAGTTTCTTGGAATTTGAGGGAGAGCAAAAAATGAAAGTAGCGAGGATTTATCTATATTCTTATGAACCTACTATGTACATGGTCAAAGGTACTGAAAGATAATATAATTTAAAGCTGTTCTACATATGCTGTGATACATCAGAGACAGATTCACCTAAAATTGGAATGTGCTAAGGAGGATTAGTGCATAAATCTTTTCATGATCTGTTTAAGAAATTTAAACTATTAATCTATAAATAAGTATTCCAACTTCCAAACATTGGATTATATCGATATTAATTAAAAATAGATTTTTTTACAATTCAGAAAATGTTGAAATTACAAGATCAGACACAGAACCTTGACAATACCAAGGACTAGGGAAAATAATAAATGTTTTGAAAATAAGAGGTTATCTCATAAGGACCAGAGAACTATTGATGTTTGAACTAGCTTAACTAAAGGATTTAAAACTCCTGCAGCTCAAAGATTTTCAAGTACTATGGCTGTGAGGAATTAAAGGGTTAAATGTATTTAAAATGGGGGTTTTTTTTAGAATTTGAGTATGGATACAATGCTTATAAATAAGGCAAACTGCTTGCTTCCTATGCATAAAATTGTTTTTCTCATTGTTTCATAAGGATCTGTCATCCAATTTATATAACTTGTTTGCTTTTACTCCCTCCCTTCCTGTCTCTCTCCTTCACTGCTTTCTTTGTTTTTGTCTTTCTCACCTCTCCATCTCCTCCTTCTCCTTCTCCTTTTCTCCTTCTCCTTTGACTCTTCAAGTTGCACAGCGATAGTCTTAATAATTGGGAAATCTAAGGATTTCTTAGGGAAATCTGGCAGGAGATTGAATCTCAGCTATGAGGCCTGCCAAGATTGACTACATAGCAGAGGTGACAGGTATGGTCTCGTGGGGAAACTTGCCAGCCACAAAGCAGCTGTAGAGCATCGCTGACCAAATAAACAGCAGTGCTGGCAAAAAATAAAGTGAAAAATGGCCTACAGTTAAGGCAAAATGAATGAAGAAAAGAAAAAGTGAAAGAGGGAAGACAGTAATCCACAAAAATTGATGTTACTGCTGTTATTATGACTTGTTATTCTCTCTCTCATTGTGACATAATACAGCAAAACAATTCTAATTATGTAACAAGACTCTGCACATCGATTATACAGTTAAGAGGGATAGATAAAATACAGTAACATTGTAAAGAAGATGGTATATTGCAACACAGAACAAACAGATCATTGTGTCTAGAAAGTCTCATTTTTTGTCTTGCATAATTCTTTCTTTTCATATTGCTCAAAGAATTTGGTTTATGTTATATCAATAAGATAATATATCATCAGTGTGTCAGTAATTGCAATGATCACACTTGATCTGGTTCAGACATTTTAATTCATCCTGAGTGCAGGCAAGTGCTCTGGAGTACATACTTGACCTAAATGAGAGTGCAAGAATCTGACCCAATAATAAATCTAATGTCAAGAATATTCCAGTTGTAAATCTAAATCTGCCTAATGAACTGTCCCTTACTCTCAAAAGGGATATAAGCAAATCACCCACAGGTGTTTTGACCTTTTCTCTTATGCTGTTTTCAGTTTGCTAAGGAGCTCCTAAGGAGCTCCCCTTCCTAAAACAAATCAGGAGGTAAAGATATGTTAAGCCAAAGAGTTAAGGGCATGAGCCTGTGTTTGTCTAATGACAGTAAAGCACTGTGAGCTGACAGTGATGACATGCAATCCCTTGACCCTAGTCTGCATCATCTTTCCTTTTTCCCTCTTCCCCTGCAGCTCTGGGTGACTCAAGGGCTCTTCTGCTGGTGATAGAAAGTTCTGTGTTCAGACTGCCAGCCCCCATGGGATCAGTGCCTGCTGGTACAGCCTTGTAGCACATTCCAACTCACCTTTCTCTTAGCCGGCTCTCAGGAGGATGCTATTTGATTAATTCCTGAGTTTGCTTTATAGCAGAGAGGAAGAAAGAAAAGACAGAGGAATACCTACAATCTCACTTAAGACGACATTGTGGGAGTGGACCCCACCACTGTCAGCACAAGTCACTGTGCAATTCTCTCTTCTTTGCATGTGTCTTTGCTTCTCTCAATGCCCCAGGGAAACTGGACTGAGCAATGCTCAAACTAAGAAAACAGTGGAAACACTTCCCCTCTAATAAGAAATCAGTGAAATATTTTTGCAAGCTGTAATGGAACATAAATGAAAAGTTTCTTTCATCCTTTTCCTAGGTATTCAATAGATCGAAACACAGACCTGGAAAGGTATTTCAATATTGATGCCAATAGTGGAGTCATTACAACTGCCAAATCTTTGGACAGGGAAACTAATGCTGTTCATAATATCACAGTCTTGGCCATGGAAAGTCGTAAGTATCCATAGAAAGATTTTTATCGACAGTTTATGTGTAAAGCTTCAGGCTTAGCTTTTATGAACTTCATTCGGAGAAATTCTGGCAGTTGGAAACTGTTGCAGATAAAAATAACATATTACTTAATGCAAAAGAAATCTATATGATAAAAATTTTAAAATATTTTGCTATTTCATTTGCTTCCCACCTTATGTATTCTTTTGTCATCTGAAATGCAAGAACAAAGGAAGATAAAATATGTTAAGTCAGCATTCTCACACTAATTATTACAGGAAAGGTGATATGGAAGATAAGGGAGAGTGGTTACCCCATCTCAGTGAGGGCACTCAGAATTGATTGCTGTTGGTCAGCCACAGCATTCTTAGAAGGTATAAAGAAAAGGGGATGTGAATGCTAATGTGGTTAAATTTTCCTGACTCTAAGGTACCACTGTAGAAGTTATTTTATACTTGGTATTTTTTTCTGGTGTAAGATGAAAATTGTTTAAAAGAATGTCATGCTTCAAATGGATACAAGAAATCTTAGGATGCAAGTTCAAACCTAAACTTGTTCTGCTTTGAATACATTTTGTGAAGTGCTTTTACATTTGAAGAATTAATATCTTCAAATTTTATCTTTGTTACTACTCTGTTGGGCTTTGATAATAAAAAAGTTATCAGTTCTCTGGCTTGCTATTGTAAAAATCATCACGTCTTGATTTCAGTGAGCTTAATTTAACATTTAACCTGAAAAATAAGATTCATTATATAGTGTTTCTGAATTTCTCTTGTATTTTCATAAGTAGAATTTTGGTCTAAAAAACCCAAAATGGAAAACAAAAATTTTCCTGGATGGTAGAAAAACCGATGAGGTAGATAAGGGGCATACCTCACACAAATGAGAGTCTAGGAGCACGAAAAACTTGTACTGCTTTAATTTATATTCATCCTTGCTCGGTCTTCAATAAGCTTAGTTAAGGGGAGGAAAAATTTGGTGTCAAAATGTCTTGCTTCTCTGGTATAGCTAGATATGAGTATCAGTTTAGGATGTGATTCATATCTAAGGTGTTCAACATGCTAATGACAGTATTGAAATACTTAGTTGTGTGTGCACTTTAAATATTTTTGGATTTGCTTCAGAAGGCAGCCTTCTTTCCTCTTACACATAGCTGATAAAATTCTGGTTTTGTCTTCTGATTCATCTAAAGTTCAGGAAAAAAAAAAGTTGTTTTTTTTCCCATAACAATCATGCTGTTCATGTATGTGTAATGATGCTCTGGCTAGCTTTGTGATGATTTTACATCATCTTGCTCTTGCTCTTATCCTTCCATGTGATTTGATTCAATGCTGTGATTAGTGAGTTAGATTCTGAGAGTAAAATGTGAGGTTAACTGAAGCAGCTGAAGCACGTATATTTTGGTCCAGAAGATCAATAAAAGAGCTTCCTTTATATTTGAGGGAGGGATTATAATTGTTTTGACATGCATTTCCAAAAGAAGAATGCAAATGAAATAGCTAATGACTTTCAGAATAACTTGCCAGGATCTCCTCTTAATTGTTCTATTGGACTTTTTTCTATAGAAAATCCAGCTCAGATTGGGAGAGGCTATGTAGCCATCACAATCCTTGATATCAATGACAATGCCCCTGAGTTTGCCATGGAGTATGAGACAACTGTGTGTGAAAATGCTCAGCCTGGTCAGGTATGTCTTGATAGGTTTTATGTTTATTTTTACCAGATAATCAGCCATTCCTTAAGAAAGCCTTCCAGCTTTAAGATGAAGAAAAATCAGCTTATAATAGCAAAATGAGGCCCCGATGAACAGTACAAGCAAACAGTAAGAGAGATGCTTGTATAAAAATTATTGGTTGAAAGTAGTGTTAACATCTCTGCCTTTCTTACATGTCTAACTGATACATTTTGCTTAACTCACCTAATTTTGAATAATACTGAGAATGCATACTTCCTCCTAATTTTTGTGGGAATTGGGAAGCAGTAACACAAATTCTGAGACTAAATGCCCACCATTCCAAAAATGAGTACACACTTTTAATCCCTCTAGGAAGTATGGACCTTAGGGACACAGTTTCACAAGGGGAATATATTCCTATTTTTTATTCCTATATTTTCAGATCCCAAATATCTTCCAAGTGGTCCTAAATCTATGGCTTGTTGTTTCTCCTTGGTGTCCCTCATATTTGACCTTTTCCTCTCTACTATGGAAGACCTCACAAAATACATGTATTTTCTCAGTCTCTCTTCTCACTTCCAGAAAACTAGTTGACGTTGCACCTGCATAGATCCCATATATTTCCTGGAAGACTTTGCTCTTTTTTGCCTTCTCCCATGTATTGTCCTTCCTGTGGTAGATGCTTATTGCACATTTCAAAAATCACCTCACAATTTAAATTGTGATAAAAAGCCACTATGTTTATTAGCTTGTGCTCCTGAGAAACATAGACTATGCATGCTCTTATTGTTGTACCTCTCTCTTTTCCCTGTCCTCTGATCAGAACTGGACCTGAGAATTGGAGTTTCCAATTTTTTGTGGACTTTAAGCAGTGATGACACTTTCTCTAGAGGTAGATTTTGACAGAATTTTAGAAAGTGCAATTTTAAAAATAATAGTAATGAAATTCCAGAAAATAATACTATACTTATGATGTGCCATTCTGTTTTTCATTACATTTTAAAAAAAGTACAGGAATTCAAATCCTCAAAAAAATCACGGTTTTCTTCTGAAGGTTTACAGCATTGATTGTAGCCACTGATACTACACTAAGAGCCACCCAGTAGATACATTTCTTCCACTGCTATGCAGTTCAGTACTCCAAGCTCTGGTGAATGACAGAACCAAACTTTCTCCCAGATCCTGCAGAGCATTGCTTTGGCCAATAAACTTAGTACAGGTAAAGAGTTGAGTCACACATTATCAGTCTCTACATGCTTAGGAGATTAGAAAACCAAAATGCAAGATGATTAGAACTTGAGGGAGGTTTGATATTGTGATACGTAACAGAGGGGTTATGTAATGTACATGTATATATGCTTCAATGAAACCCTGATGTATCTCAAAACAGGTGATCCAAAAAATTAGTGCAATCGATAAGGATGACCCACCAAATGGCCATCAGTTCTACTTCAGTTTAACAGCAGAGGCAGCAAATAACCACAATTTTACATTGCAGGACAACAAAGGTAAGAAAATTTTGATTTGGTAAATATTCACCACTAGCACCTTCCATTTTCAATGCAGCATGCTTATTATGACCTACATAAACTTTTGTTCTGATAAGGACAAAAACTACAATCAGTCTGCCAAATAATTTTATCTCTAGATTATTTGTCAAAGGAATTAAGCTGTTGTTTGAGTCATTTAAAGCCTTGAGCCAAACAGAGCAGCATCAAATCTTTAAATCTTCTCTTACTTTTTTTTCCCCATCAGTCACTCTTCACATTTTTTCACTGTATTTAGAGTTTTTTTATCTCAATTAGATTTTACCTTGTGGCAGTGACTGAAAAATGTCCAGGAATTCATGTCTTACTAGTATAACTCAGGGCAGAAAAAATGAGTGCACGATAGATGGAGATGTTTTGTGATTTGTAGGGATTTTGTTTTGATTTTAGAAAAACACATCATTTCAGTAGCTAAGTATATCCCCTTTTGAAGAATGCTTTTGATAATGAAAACTGCCTATAATATTTTCACAGACTTCTTATAACTGTTTCCTCAAAGACTCCCACTGACATTCCATTTCTGCTAGTTAAAATATCTGAGAACACACTCTAATTACCGCCCTCATTAGTTGCACTGCACAATACAGCAGCTGGGCACGTGTCAGGCAGTTTAGCTATTAGCTGTAGCAAACAGAACTAAATAGACAGGGCATTGCTCTTGCATTGCTCTTTTATGGATCAGTACTTAACCAGAGCTACAAAGTCGTCCTATTAGTTAAACAAGAAAAACAAACATATGGACACTGAAGGACACTGTTTGTACAAGCAGTTTTTGAATAATATTCAGTAAGTATAATATGTGACCTAATAAAATTCTTTCATGCAGGTCTTCATTGCCTTACCTAATGTGTTATAATGCTTAATTTTCTCCATATTAACAGTTTGCAGCTTAAAACTGAAGACTCTAATAGTAGCAATGATCAAAATAATAAAAGCGCATTAGAATAAGACTGTTCAGAAATCTGATATCAGGAAAACTGTAAAGCAGTTCATGAAAAGAGACCCTCTTCCAGAGAACTTGTAATTTGAAAAAAGTAATAATACTGCTTGTAAAATCAGTGGAGGTACAAGACACAGCAGCAGCTATTTCATTCAACATTAGTTAATTTTATGCATCTCTCATATGATGTTATATCAAGAGGTGTTTGCATATTTTCCAAGATATATCATAATAGATGACAGAATAAATTACTGATTACCAATATATCTGTCTACGGATAGATAGGTAAGTAGATAGACAGACCAAGTGAATGAATAGTTCTATACATCCTGGGGGATGTAACTCCCTACCTCTCAGTAGCTCTGAATCTGTGTTGTACACAGTGAGTTTTACACATCTTCTTGAGCACACAGGCTTTTTAATCACACAACTCAGACCAGTGTCAAACTACACATTTTAGACTGATTATAATGGCCATCTTGAATCTCAGAAGAGTCTGAAAACAACAGCATGTCTTGGTTGCAAGCACACTTACCTTGTTTGTTCACAGACTGGAATATTTTTGCATTCAAAAAAGGTTTCATTGATTTTCAGAACCTGTTCTGCTATTAATATGGTCATTGCTTCCATTAATATGATATCTATATCTGTAAATAATTGAAATAGATGCTTGTAAATGAAGGGGAAATGTGTATTTAGATACCTAATCTGATCATTGAAGGGTAATTTTTTTTCTTTTTATAATGATCTCATCTTCAGCTGTCTATCCAGATTGTGAACACATGACCTTAGCTGAAAACATATGGACCTCTGCATATTTGAAATATTCTTCTGTTGAAAATAGAAATCTTCTTGTTTAGTTGTGTGTGATTTCTTAGTTAAATCTTACCTCTGCAGCTTCAAAAATATATGACTGGGAAAGGTAAACTTGTTGAAATAATATTAATGTTTTTATAAAATCTTTAAGTAGCGGGCTGTATTATTTATAGGCTTGTATTTTAGAAAAGTCACTTATTTTATAATGTGTGAATAATTCTTTTTATTCCTTTATCTAGATAATACTGCAACAGTATTAACCAAAAGAAATGGATTTCGAAGACAGGAGCAGTCTGTTTTCTACTTGCCAATATTCATAGTGGACAGCGGATCACCTTCACTTAGTAGCACTAATACTCTCACCATCAGGGTGTGTGATTGTGATGCAGAAGGTATTGCTCAGACATGCAATGCAGAAGCATATATCTTGCCTGCAGGACTTAGCACTGGAGCCCTGATAGCAATATTGGCTTGTGTCTTGACACTGCTAGGTACGTCTTCTTTCTGTTACCCTTATTTTCCATTCAATGCACTGTAGCAAAAGATACAAGCATGTAAGCTTCAACATTCCACTCTGCCCTGATTACTGTGATCAGGCACAGATAGTATTCAAGAAAGAACAGCATTTTGTATCATTGACACAAAAAAACCTTTAGATTTGGATTATCAATTTAGATCCTTTGTTTCTATATCAACCTGCCTCCAAACAGATATAAGAAATAACAGTAAAAGGAAAAAAAATATGTCTTGCATCAAATGCAGTATTTAAGAGATTGACAATACAATTAATGGAAGCATTTGGTTTAGCATACTCACCATATAACCAGTATCAATGTTTCCCTTTTCCACAGGGATAACTGTTTTTAAACATTTACTGACTTGCATAGAACAAAAGATATTCAGAAAATAAAACAGATGCAATTTCCTGATTATAATTATAATTAATTGACATCATCTACAGAATGATCTTTTGTTACTTCTGCAAATGGTACCACAGCTGGATTTCATGTTGAGCAGTGAAACTGCAACTAGATAAAAGGCAATGGAAAAGAGTGGAATGGTGTCAACAACCTTATTTGCCTAGCATTTCTCATGTAATACTAATTAAACAGTAAATGGGAGAGTAAAGGGTCAAATCAAGAAATAAAGATGAAGGATAAAGTAAGCAAAAGTGAGGTTTTGCTTTTTGTCTGTCTGAAAATTCATATGTTATCAAGGGTAATTACGCAAGAATTTTCTTCAGTGTTGCTATCAATAAAGAGATTTTTCTATGCCCTTTCTGTACATACCAGTCTAAGGAAATGGAGACCAGTCTTCTTATGTTGGAATAATCCCAGTGGTGTTTTATCTGCCACTCTTATCAAAGTTAATTTGGATAGGTCAAATCAAGAGACTTATGTCCAAACTTCTGTTCATGGCAGCATTTCCACCATGTATGGATAAGTCTTCTTTTGCACTCTGATTCATGTCGCTGAAAACCATTAGAAGGAAATGTTCCTTCTGCTAAAAAATTTCTAAAGGACTCCAAAAAGACAAACTTGTTGCATACTTTTTTTACAGAGCAATAAAAATCACTACCACTGCAATGAACTCAACCAATTTACTCAGTAGCTATAAATATATATATGAGAGGTGGCATTTCTAAAGTTTTTCCATCTCCGTGACATAAAAAATCTAACACCATAAGACTTTATTCTCACTCAACACATGGTTAGACCTAGGTTTAAGAAATGGAAGGGAATTATTGCCAGAAGTTTTAATGAACATTTTTAAATACCACTTTTCTAGTAGCATTTCTAGCCAATTTATGTACACAAATGAACTTTATTTGGACATGAAGCTAAATGTTAGAGTTCAAAAAGATATAAAAATATTCCCTTATATCAACTAGCATTAGTATCAGTGAAAAAACACCCGCTTTATACTTTAGTCCAATATACTTAGGAATAAAAGTCCTGGAACCATAGCAATTCATTTGATCCCAAAATGAAATGTCATAATTTTTGTTATACATGAAAAGAGCATTTCTGAAGAAACTTCTGTAGGTACCATGCAGCTTTTTCTGGTCATAAACCTTTCTTAAATAGAAGCAGTGGGATTACAGGAAGATCATTGAGTGGAGACACAGAATGTTGGCACCAAATAACTTGCTTATTCTACTCAGGATACCAGGGGTCAAATATAACTAATAAACCAATAAACTTAAGCTTATATTCTAGTTATTTTTAAAGTGTTCTGAACAAGGGTTTGGGAAAAAGTCATGCATATTACCACCTCACCACTGATTTTATTTGTCAAAGACTTTGGGTTTCCAAAGTCATCTGTCTGAAGGCATCAAAATTGTTTATTCAAAAAGACATTTGTATGTGCCATATATCATAATTTCTAGTCTAAACTGTTTCTTTTGAGTACAGGTCAAAGCTGCAGGAACGTGTTAGACTTGTAGGAACAGTTTTGTATGATAACCCTGGCTTTGAGTGCTGCATTTTGGTACTGCATCCTGTTTTAGTCTCAGCCACATGCCAGTGTTCACAAGGAAGAGGTACCTAAGCATCACTGATGCCCAATGAAACCCAGCTGCTTGTCTGGTCCCAGAGCCTTCTTCTTCTCTTATTTGCTCCTAGAATATGTTTTCTTGGACCAGCTGCATGGTGGTATTTCTAGGAATTTTCATTCCCCTTTTGCTCTTTGCATTCATTCCTGAGAAAAATGCTGAAGATCCACTAGTACAGCATAAAAAAATAGGCTTCAGCTGTTGGCAAGTGGTTCCACGACTGGGAAAAGGGATGCACATTTTTCTGTAAGGCTTTATCAGTGAAAAGAAGATACAGTCTACTGGATCAATATCTTTCCTAACCCAAGATTAACATGCAGTGCAAATCCAGTCACATTAATCAATGTCATCTTAATGTGGGTGTCAGTTGTAAAGCAAAGAAAGCATGAAATCTGCATAGATGGGATGAATACATCCGTTCTGGCCCCAGTGTCTTGAATTCTCAACCAGCTCTTAGTTTTTTTAAGTTAGTATGGTATACTTTTTTGATCCTGCCCCATACATCGCTACGGCTGATATCTAACCATTTGTCTTTACCAAGACCCAGATTGTCTCAGTGGGATTTCTTAGTGTTGTTACTTTTACTTAAGCAACCAAACAGTTTTAGATAAGCACAATGTTTTCACTGATTCTAAGAAGGAAGAACATTATTAAATCACGCTCTTTTATGATAATTGCATATAACATGGCATAAACTTTTTTCTAACAAAACTAATTTTTAAAAGTTAAAAACATTTAAAAACAAAATCTCTTTCTGTCTCCATACTGACTGATGGAGTTTAAATTGTAAATTTTATTTCACAACAAACTTCCAGTACTTTTTTAATTACTCAAAACAGCTTTCCAATTAGTAAGGCTAAGTTTAACAGAAAGAAAAAATCCAAAAAATTATAAAAAAAAGGCATATGAAAAGGTAGTTTGATTAATTTTGGACTGCTCATAATTTTGAGGAAAGTAGGAATTTTTAAACTTTTCTGAAAATGATATGGTAATTTAATTCAAGGTAATTTGTTTTTCAGTTAGTATCTTCCAGAAACAGTAATTGCTTTTGTAACAGCTGTTTAGCATAAAATGTTTACATAAAATCACACACACAGAATATTCACCTGTAGATAACCTAATCACATTTGAGAGGTTAAGTATTTTCTTTGTATTGATGCAAGGGAAATCTAGATTGGTGCAATACTTTTTTATGATTTTTGTCTTTCATACTTCTAAAAGTAATTGATTACTGTCACCTATTTTCTTAGGAAGACTGAAGAAAGCTTCCTATTGGTGTGGCACTAGAGTTTACAAGAATAATATGTTGATAAAACTTGAAAATATGGTTTATTTTTTTCAGTTGAAAGGAAATTTATTATCATTATCAAAATACCTGCAAAACCCAAATTAAATTGGAACACATAATTGTGACTTGTAAACAGGAAGAAACAGTTCTAGTCATAAGAATTCTATTGTCTAAATTGATATAATGTGTACAGAATGTGACTGTAATATGCGAAGGATTTGGCCTTGCAGTTTTAAAAGTGATAAATGTGCAACTGGGGGAAAACATTTAGCTAGGGGTACCCAAAACAACACTTCCACAAAGCGGTTGAATATGAAATGCAGCAGATGTTTTCTGAAAGTTAGGGAGCTGATTAGGGTCACTCAGTGTGGGCATTTAAAGGTCACAGTCACTTTGCAAATATCAGTCCAGACTGATTAAACAACAGGTATAAGTGAAGCTTGTTAAGTGGGAATTAAATTCAAGTTTCCTGAGTCTTGGTCTCTGTAATCCCCAAACCTTATCTGACTGTACTGGCAACTGCAAGGTATAACTAAATAGGTTATTAGTGTGCTGCTTAGATGGCTGAGGATCTCCAATCACCAGCTTTATGAATCATGGCACACCTAAGGCATAAATCAGTGTGCAGATCTGCTGGCAGCTGATGCGGCTTATTGCTATAGTAAATTCCTGGCTCAGGGGTGTAGTGTATACAAAGCATGGTAATGCTTGTGATTTAGCTCTGTGCCTTTCTGTATAGCTCTGCATGTAGTCTTCTCCCTCAGGGCGTCTCACGGCTTTTATGACTTCTTTACAATTACGTTGCAGTTGCCTTGAGTACAAAAGGAAAAATTAATACTAAACCAGAGAAATATGTTCAGGCGAACTAAACCTGACTTATTACCAGATCATACCAAAATGGAAATTTCAGGATAATTCCAGAAAGCACACTGAAAAGTGGCAAAGCAAAAATCCACTCTTGCATTCAAAGGTGCTTGTTTAAAGACTCATTTGAGTGTACTGAAGCTACAAACATTAGCATAAAATGTATACTAGACACAGGATAAAACTGTGTATTACCACAGCTAATATAAAGACAAATTATTATTTTTTTTTTACTCTTTTACCTATTAAAGGAAATCAATATTTTTAAAAATTCAGGTAAATCAGAAGAATTAAAAGGTTAGTTTAAATTCATCTTTGTTAATTCTGGTTATTAAGTCTTTGTAATTAGTTGCCTAAAATATCGATTGATTTGTTTATTTGTTGCATCACATACAAAATCTGTGTTGTCATTTCATCTCCTTAGTATGAGTTGGATGTTTCAGTATGGAGCCAATGTAGTGCCCTCAATGTGCAATTCATATGTGCCTGAAGGTTTTCCACTGTATTATTTATTTTCAAAGAATCATGAAATTAGGTTTTTAGAAGTTCAGACAGTCCCTAATTACTAACTTAATCTCTGCTTTTGTCATAAATGTAAGAAATAAAAACCCACAATGACTTAATGAGAAATGAAAAAAAACTTTGAAACCATTTGCATTTGATTTAGATAGCAGTGAAAACTGTTTAGGGCTTGTATTCATCTCTGCAGCTCCTGCAATGCAGCTAAAACTTTGTTCATTTAGAGGTTAAACTTTATTGTTCATGGCTGCTGGAAAGGCTAGAAATTAATAATCTTATAAAGTCATCTAAATGCTAAAATATTTAACCTTTAGAAAGACTCCATATTTTTCTTGGCTTCAAGCAAGTGTGAGAGGTAGAAGGAACACTATATAAAACATTCATTGTATCTTGATTTTTATTGTACCTTTAGGCAGACCTTCCTACTAAGATTCTTATTTTACACTTATTAGCATGTCTTTAACTTTCAATGTGAAGTATGTTAAGAGGGATGGTGGAGTAAAAATGCATTTACATTTGAGTAAATTATTAGGTGCTTACTTATATGACAATAAAAATGTGGCAGTAAAGGTTAAAAATAATAATTAAAAAGAAGTTATGTCAATAGAAATCTTGGTTTAAATATCTATTTGTACTGTCAGCAAGCTACTTTCATTTTAAAATAACTTTTACAATAAGGAAAAACATTAAGAGTGGAGTGCAATTGTATCTGATGACAATTTTATGTTCTCTGCCATATAATTTACAGCTTAATTTGTATTATACAAATATCAGAATGTTTTGAAATTTCCCAAATGTCACTTTAAAGGTCAATATTTCATATTATGAAACTGCTTATGTAAATATTATTCAAAGCAAAATGCCCCAGACTAGTGGCTTCTGAATTCAATACATAAAGGATGAATCAGGTGGATGCCAGGGGCAAAAAACGTGAAAGGGTTATGCTGATTATGTACTAATATAGTCACGAGACATCTATTAGTAAATGGATTATTGAAGATATGTTTGGTAGCTACTGAGAAAAGAGGAAAGAATTGTCGCCTAATATAATTGTCAGAAATTTTAGGGGGAGAAAAATGTAATTGCAGTTTTATTTTTAGACATGTGTGGCTCCAAAGGGAAGTAAAAATAATGCAGAAAGGCATCTCTGGCCTTAGCCAATTCCAAATAGTACCATAATATCTGTAGACATATACAGCTTTCTTGCAGGTACAAGTTACTGGTTTATTATAGCCAAGTGGTCCTAATATTGAGTCATTCCTCACAATGACTAGATTGATACTGATTTTAAGATCCCTCCATGAAAAGGCTTTCAAGAATAGTAATCCTGCATCATGCAATTTATGGAGGCAACTTTTGAGATTACCTAGGGAACCTCAAGCTTAATTTTATCTCTATCACCTTTTAGCTTTTGCTTTTCCATATGTTTCTACAGCATTTAATTGGCACTGTAAGTAAAGATTGATTACATTATCAATGCATATAATCACAATTCTTAACATTAAAAATAATCATAAAATCAGAAGAGATTAATTAAATGTGGAATGACACTTTTCAACATACTGTGATTTTTACAATCATAGTGATGCCTGTGATTTCCTAGGAGTGTCATTAACTCAGCAACTGTTATCCAGATGCTACAATATAGTATTAATTATTTTCCAGGAGGATGATTCACACTCCATCATGTCCCACAGATGGGTGCAATATTCATAGTATTGCTTCCATATTTTTTGTGTCGCCAGTGATGTTACTCTACCAAAACTGTATTAGAACAAGAGGAGCCTTGAGCTAGTTTCTTGCAGTGCTTTTGGCTGCCACTGCAGTTTAGTATAAACTTTCAAGCTGAAAGAAATTTTATGAGTTAAAATTAAATAACCAATTGCATTTCTAGTACTGGTTCATCCAGTAAACTCTAACCCTAGCAGTTCTCATTAGATGTAAGGCAGAAATCTCAAGTGTAGTACTTAGCATTTTACAGGAAAGTGAGGTCTTATATAGAGGTGGTTTTATTCCATGAACGAATACAATCTTACTTTACACATTGCTTAAATTTTTTTAACTTTATTTTTATTCAGCAGATACTGGTCATACACTTTAATTCAGTCACTTCCCAAACCATGGTTTTTAAATTCTATTCTATCAATTTATGGATGTGCTTTCATCACTTGGGCATTTAAGAGTTCAGGAAAGGGTATATATATGTGTATATTTTAAAATTATTATAGTTTGTTGGCTGTGATATTTTCATAGTCAGACTGCACCAGTATTGAAATTTATGTTTAACAGACAATACAGGGTATTAGAATTAGAGATGAAGATGCTAATCCTGAATGATTTGGGAAATAGATTCTTTAGCACCTAAAAAGCTTATGGTTTAAACGTTATTTCATAATCTGCTAGGTTTCACATCTAACTGCATAAATTGCTTGCTATTTCCTTGGGTCTTTGCCATATAAATTAATGAGTACTTCCAACATTAGGAAAAATACAAGAAAGCTTCAGCACTGCTAAAACTCTAGTTTTCCTTTGTTCCAGTTCTTGTCTTGCTGATTGTCACCATGAGGCGAAGGAAAAAAGAGCCCCTCATTTTTGATGAAGAGAGAGATATCAGAGAAAACATTGTCAGGTACGATGATGAGGGCGGTGGAGAAGAAGACACAGAGGCTTTTGACATGGCTGCCTTGAGGAACCTCAACATCATGCGAGACACCAAGACCAGAAGGGACGTGACACCTGAGATTCAGTTCTTGAGCAGACCAACTTTTAAAAGCATCCCGGATAATGTCATTTTTAGGGAATTTATCTGGGAGAGACTAAAAGAAGCTGACGTGGACCCCTGCGCGCCGCCCTACGACTCCCTGCAGACGTACGCATTTGAGGGGAACGGCTCGGTGGCGGAGTCGCTCAGTTCTTTAGATTCCATCAGCTCAAACTCTGACCAGAACTACGATTACCTCAGTGACTGGGGCCCTCGTTTTAAAAGGCTTGCAGATATGTACGGGACCGGACCAGACTGCTTGTACTCCTAGCCTTGGATCCTTTCTCTGAAAATGCACTGAAGAATATTAAAACAGAAAACTCAACCTAACAGACTGAGGAAAGCTGTAAATATTTCTCCATTTTTAAGGTTTTAGGTTTTTTGGGTTTTTTTTCGCCTTGGTGGAGCATATATATATCTTCATTAGACTTGTCCTAGGAACTGCACTGACCACACAGAATATGAGCATTTGGTGGCATTTTTGATAAAATGAAATGCTCAGCCACGTTCAAATAGATAGCAACCCTCAAATACCTGCAGAGGCAACTCACTTTCAAGATTATGTTATGCAGTCACCTCAGTGAGCTGGTGATACTCTGTAGATGTCTTCACAATATTGCTATATAGAGAATACAGAGTCTCTGTTTTAAGAAGAAATAAATTTTCAAATCTATAACTCAATACAGTTTTACTGTACATGGTATTTACACAGGCAAGGTTTTGTTTAGCAAATTTTCTTTACTGTGTACATACAGCTTACTAGAACAAAAACAGGACTGATGAAAACAAACAAAAGCCCAGGAAATGTGGGCTTTTTTTCTTTTTCTCCTTGTTTGTTCTCAGAGCTATTTAATTAGAAATCAGTCTAATTTTCTGGGTAGTTTTTTGAGAAATTATTGTTCGTACTATGAAATTCCACAGTGTTCCATCAACTTACAAAGTAGATTAAAATCCACATAAAATGATAAATATGGAGTTGTAGTCTTAAGACTGGGAAGTTTTGTGATGCCCATGTAGGCATAGAAAAGGTGTTGCTATCTATTTGCTATTTTTTATCCTCTCTTCTGATTTGTACAGGAGAATTTATCCTTTTTTATTATCGTTTGACATAAAGTGTTATATTTATTTTGGAACTCCAATCTCCACTAAATTCAGGTCCATTTTACTGCCTCATAGTTTTAGACTTGTCAGAACATGCTGATTTTTCTCCAGTCTCAGATAAATGTAGGAAATGAAGCATGGAAGCGGAGAAATTACAGTAAACAATGCCACCCACCATTCATCCCACAGAAAGGAGAGCAACTCCAAGGATGTGCAGTTGTTCTGCTGAGCCATTACAAAGTCTGAGACATTTAAAGAAAACATTTGTACATTGAAATTTTTGAAAGAAGACTGCAGAGGTAGCTGGGAGTATCTTTAATGCAAGATTTAATTTTCAAGGTTAAACATGCTATATGCTTCAAAGACTGTAAACACCTTGCTTTTCTCCTTCCCCTTCTCTTTTGCTGCTGATGAATCACAGTAAAAGATTTTTCTATTTTTTTCTTATGTTAAGCAATGTATGCTATTAACTTCAGAAGTCATCTTTAGATCCTGCTGCACATAAGTATTATTTCCCCAAGGTGTTAACTCACTACACAGAATTTCTATGCTGGTTCAGGAGTGCCAAAACAGAAGGACAACTATTGTTGGTTAATATACTGTATGATTTTGAAGTAGTATTTCTTAGACTAAGACAATTTTTTATGATTCTGACAATATTTATACTTCCATCTTTCATGATTTATTACTAGATAATAAGGCATATATTCAAGTAAAATAGTGGGTTTAGGTATTATTTCAGATTTTTTTTTTGTTTTAGATAAAATGTAGATGAGTTCCTAAATTAGAATCTGTTCCTGCAAAATTTTTGCTTGTACCTAACTTGAAATGACTTGACCTGCCTGCAATTATTGAGAGGTACACAGAATTGTTTACAGAACTGTGTTTGTGAACAGAAGGTGCTCCACAGAGGATGATGCTCACTCTAAAAGTACTTCTTTCTGAGAGAAGGATCCTTGTACTGAAATCCTAATGTATGAATGATGTGAGGCTGGGAGATGGGAAATTATCATTACGGCTTTGTAATTTTTGCAGCCCAGCATTATCAATTATCTATGTGAAAGTGGCCTTCAGCTCCAACAGAAAAGAAAAATAATTTTAACCATCTACAACATACTTAATTTGAGTTACATTTTAATAGACAATCATTGTTTCATAATTCAGTAGATTTGCTTCTAGTTGTTTGAAATATATATATATAGGCATATATATATATATATGACAGATTTTGTAATGGAACTGACAGATATCGTCCATGACTTTTAGTCATACATGTAAGATTTTCAATAAAAAATATTAAAAAATAGAAAAAAACCCACCAAACATGTGTATACAGTTTAATGAGAGCAAGATATGCTGCAGAATTTAAGCAGGTATTAAATCAGCAAGGTTTTGAGAGAACCGTTTTTCATTAATCTCCTTGTTCTTTGTGGAAAGACAATTATGAATCTGGATTAAGATGTCAAAAATGCTGATTTTAGCACATGACATTCACAGGAGATTTAAATGTGGTTTAGAGTAAACAGCTCAATTTCTTTGGTTTTACAACTTCTGTATCTATAAAAATCCCAAAAACCTCCACTATTAGGAAACTATGTTAGGGTGGGGGTTTTATTGGTGTACTTTCTACAGTAAAAAAAAAAAAAAAAAAAAAAAGCTTTATTCTGATACCATAAAAATTATTGCATATATATGTTTTCAGTTTCACAGTTCTAATGTAATTGTTTCCTGTTATGTTCTACATGCTTACCTACTGATTGTATTGTTGCAGTAAGAAAGGAAGGTGGAAATCCTTTATGTCCGATGACAGATATTACTATAGCATATACATAAGGGTGTGTGTAATATACACACTATATAATGCTCACCAAAAAATTACCGTGGCTATAGGTTTTACAATTTGTAATCTGATTCAAATTCTTTTGCTGAGTCTTATTTATGTTGCATAGCTGGATGGCATAAAGTATATTCTACTGACTAAATAATATAAAATGAAAGAAATATTTTCTCTGTTCTGGAAAGGTAATGAAATTATTTGGGCAAATTAATTAGAACAACACTTTAAAAATATTTCCAATCATATTTATTTATTTAACTTTCTGAAGAGCTTCAGTATCTAAATAAAGGCCACAAATCCTAGATAAAAAACATGTCAAATATTGCAATCACTCCCATCTTACAGTAGAAAAACATGTCTTTCCTTCTTCCATATGCTAATTGAATGGCCTTATTTTAAATTGAGATTTCCAACAATCTTGAAAAGTGCAGTTTTAAGACTGCTACTAAAATACCCCTACAAAAAATTAAGCTGTTTGAAGAAGACTTAAGGTAAAGACTTCTTAGTCTGTTTTGACCACTGGAATCTACTGAATTCAACAGAGTCAAACAATGGACATTCTGCTCCTTATTCAAAGTAAAATTAGTGTACTTACTCTAGGGTGTATTCCTGCTAAGACCTAGCACTGGACTTCCTAAGCCTTTTAGTTCTGATGGCTGCTTAGTACAGTCATGGTAGGATTCATAAACTTTGATGGTATCAACTGAAATTTCTCCTACTCTCTAAAAATTAAAGGAGAAAAACCCAACTTCCTTTTTACTCCTTATTTTGTTTGTTGCTTTGAAAGAGAGAGGGATGATTCATTGCAATGTCCCTTTTCCGTTAAGGCCTTTTCTCAATTTTTTCCTGTTTACCATTCAGGTGCTAGCAATAATTGATAAAAAATGTTTCCTATAATTTCATTCTTTTAGAGATTTTGGATGAAAGCCTGTTATAAAATTGCAGCATCCTATTTTTATGGATAAATACTCTTGTGTGGTATAAAGAAAAGTCGTAGCTTGTCATTCTGAAAAGGAAATAAATATAATTATAAATAAAGCATACCATTATATTGGCTTTTAAGATCCTTAAAGAGTTGAAAGGTGAATACAATTACCTATATCAAATCTAGTATTAAATTCTTGGTTGCAGTCCATCACGTGACTGATTTTAATTTTTTACATATAGATTTTTTGTCTACTTTAGAATCTATGCTGCTTGGAGGCATAATTGTCTTCACCTCATTAGTGACAGAAGGGGTCAAATATATTTTTAGTGGTCTGTGACTCTAAAAGTGAATTGTTAAAGATAGAAATGCCGCTTTATTTATTTGACAGAAATGGGAAAGTCTACCAGATACTAACAGCTCTACAAATTACTTTCTTAATTATGCTGTCCTTAAGTTTGTCAGATCTACATCTAAGTTTTTCAGATACATCCTAAGATATATTTTGACCCCAGAATGATTCCTTCCACACAAAGAATTATTCTTCAGTTAATTTTTAATGCAGCTAAAAATGTATTTTAGTGTTCACTGATTTTTTTTTTTTTTAATACATTTCTTCTTTAACTTTTGTTCTTTGAACTAGGGTAATCTCAGTACACAATATAATCTATTTTCTACATGAAGGGGATGAAAAAAATCTACAAAACACAAGTTTTATTTTGCAACTATAATTTACCTTTTTTTCACAAAAGAAAGAAATTTTTTCCCTATGGTACATAAAATCTGAGAAACTTTAGACCATGCAATTGCCTACAGAAATATATTGGCTGAAAAATTTTAATTTACCTCATCATTATATGACACAAGATTGTAATGGAATCTTTATGTGAAGATATTTTATATATCTAATCAAACACAATGAAGGAAGAAATTGGCATAAGAATTTTTTGGAAATCAGAAGAAAATCTCATTTGAGGCCACAGTAGTGTGTTGCGGACACTCTTCATAAATGAACACATATGATATAAAATTATATGTATATTTAAACATTCCACTCCCAAACCATTTCTTTTAAAGTACCTTTTTTTAATCAGAGAGTATCTGGAAAAAAGTAATCCTACTCTCAAAAACTTTGTTTATCCCCATCAATGACTGAGGTAGGAAAATATTATTTAGGCTCAGGCAAAACTTTTAATATTGCGCCCACTATGAAAACAAATTGGTGTTGTGTTTTGACCCAAAGTAGCTTAAAAGCTGTTAGAAGTGCTTCAAGGACTGTGACTTCTGTGAATTTTTTTAAGTGATGTTATCAAATTGAAATTCCTGTTCCTAGAAATTATCTAAGGGTAAATGGAATTTAACATTTGGATGATTAACTAAGGTCATAAACTTGTGCTGAATGCTGAACCACTATTCATAAAAAAAAAAAAAATCGAGGCTTTTACTTTCTTCTTCTATTCACCAGTTTCTCAGTCAAAGTCAGAATTTCATTGTCCACCAAAGCAAAATCATGTCATGTCAAATTTGAACACAGTAGGTAATTAGATCTTGTTTTTTCCTCACTAAGGCTAAAAGACCTTGTCATTCTATTCACATATTCCTTTCTGATTATGTCTTGACTGCCTACGTCATTCTGCCTGAGACCTGTGAAGTTGTTGTGGTTTGG